AGAATTCCAAGCAGGAGACAAAACACATGGGAACCCTTATTTGTCATAAGTTTTGATAAACGCATTTCCCAATGTATCTACAAAGATGATAGGAGAGGAAAGTTTAGGGAAAGAAAATAGCAGAGAAGATGGACATAGGGTAGATCTTAGAGCCAGCAAACGTGGGTTTGCGTTTTACTTTGCCATTGCAGATGTGCGACATCTGGGGAGGTTGTATAGCTACTCCAAGCTCATAATGTGGATTAAATATCACTGCAACTCAGTGTTGCTTGGGAGGGTTAAAGGTCATAAATGCATGCCCGAGCTGGCTTGTTGTAGGTGCTTAGTCAGTGGTGGCTTAACCAATTCTGTTGATGGCAATAACAAATGAACACAGCTATGCCAATGACATTCCTGCCTGGAGAATATAATAAGGTTGGTTTCAGAAAACTTATTGAGAGGTATTGACATTTAATTTGCTCCCAAAATAATGGCTGTGAAGGTAAATAAGAAGATCAATTAAGAGGACAAGGGAAGGAAATCACACTGGGGCTTTCGGCATGAGTTAATGCCCGGCTAGGTTGTGAAGACTCTTAGGCAGAAAGATAAGTTGAAATAGCTGATGCATACTTTGGGGGTCCCACTGATGGCTTTGAAAGTAGTGGCACAGTCAAGTTGTATAAAGATGCACTGGGACGACCCTCTTGCTGAGGTGTAGACTGAGCTCTCCACACCTGCTGACCACTCAAGAGCTGGTGATGAGTCTCGCTGCCCTGTGTACGGCCCACTGAGCTTTAAATTTGTCTAGAGCCCACATTTGGTGATTCTGGGCCCAGATCCACTCCAACTGCCTCCCTATACTTTAGAAAAAGTGTTTTCACATTGTGCTGTCCAGAATTTCAAAGTTCATTGCAGACCATTAATTCAGGAGTTGCACATCAATTTTATTCTCATTTCTTGCCATTTAAAAATTATTCTGATCAACTTGCAGTAAACACACATACACACACACAAGCACGCACATACACATGATTCAGATGTTTTCTGTGCCGAGTGATAATAGTCAAGGTCCCGCCAGCAATGTCAAGGTGGGCTGCTAGACTAACACGTTCTTAAGCAGGTCTCGGATTAAAGCTTCTCCTACAGGCTTTGGGAAGTATCTTAAATTCTTACTGCTAGATCAGTGATTAGTACAATGACAGCTCAACACTGTTTCTTGTTTTGTATTTTATTTCTTTTAATTTTATTTTACTTTAGTACGGAGCTTCATATATTCAAGTGAAATTGTTTAAGCAAGTATGCTACTATTTATCCACTTGGATTAAGATTTCCCTGATAATTCACAGCCGACACAAAATGTAGAAATTGAATCCTGATGTGCATATGACCACACCTGTCATCCATAATCCTGATTTAAAATTTTTGTGTTTTTCAAAACGTTCACATTGGGTTGAATATATGACGTGAAAAATAAAAATTTAAGTCCATAAATAGGTATCATAATCTGTTTTACGTGTTAGGATTCCACATTAAATTTTAGTTGGAAAGAAAGGAAATTTTCTGCTGTAAGAGGAAAGTAGAGAAAACTATTGCCCTAGACCATACTTCTTTTCTGATACCTGTGACTAAAAGTTTCCCACTGTGGAAAAGCAGAGAGGGAGAGGTGACGATGGCT